ACGAGCAATTGGGTGCCTTGGCATCCCTGAAGCAGTATATCGTGTTATTAAGGTTTTCTTATTCATATTATTTAGTAACAAAATCCTAGTAACAAATTCGGCAAAACGGTTCCGTTAGGTACATTTCATCATATCAAAAAAGGATCAAATTTCTATCTCTCTGAGACATACATATCTCCCATGAACAAGGCTCTGGCATCCATTGGTTGTATTTATGGGCTTGATATTATTGGCTTGATATTGGAAAACTATTAAAGTCTCTCACCATGTAATGGACCATTAGATCATTGACCATTTAACATAGACCAGAAAGGATCAGTGAGGACATTGCTAGGATGACATCAAAGAGGAGTCATACTGACCGATATTACTTCTGTCAGCACTCTTAAGTCATTGCCTTCTCCCCATCATCAGAGGTAGCAAGCCAGTGGCTGCACATAAATATGGGCTTTATTACCAATCAACAACTAGAAGACTCATAGAACAGCGTTAACGGTCATGCCACATTGTTCGAGGACGTCGAGGAAAGCCGCAATTAAAAAACCGCGGGGCGTAAGTCGCAATCAAGAAGCGCTTGAAATAAAGCGAAGTTTCGTTCCGGTTGTAGTAGTATGCAGTAAATTTAAATGGGAATTTTCTGTCAAAGGAAGGAATATACACTGCAAACTTTAAACTCCGAATTTGAAAGAATTCTGTTATCAAGACACCCAAAAAACCTTAGATCTGCCGGTACAGTTATTCAAAGATCCCATATAGCCCTGCAGATCTAATACACATATGAGTAAAATTATATCAACCTATTTATTTGTGAGTGATTTTAGTCTTCTATTTAACTGAAGAATGCCTGTTGGCTTAATATCGTAGAATGAAAACAGGTCGTGATCTACCTTTAAGTTTCCACCTCATCTCGACACAGCGAGTAGGAATCGGTGTTGTCGTCATCTGACTTGGAAGTCATGGCCCTTAAGTTACAGTGATCTTTGATTATTCCCACCTTAAGTGTCGGGAAATTTTTTTAGAGGCATTACATCCCCTTTCATTTGCCAGTTATGTTAGAAATTGACGGAATATAATTATTATCACTCGGAAAAAGTTAACCAAGGTTTATTGTCGATCTCCAAACGCATTCCTACACTGCAAAACAGCATAGAATTAATGGTACGTAAAGTTAGAGCTTTCAGGGTCCCTTGAATATCAAATCCATTTGCCTGGAATATGCTGCAGTTGTTAAGTTTGACTGGGGTTCGGACTTTCAAGAAGAAGCTTGCACCCGTTTCTCTCTCTATATTTGAACCATCGGTATAGATGGCTATACCGTTTAAAAGTTTGCTGTTAAGGGTTCAGATGTCCCTGTGAAGTATTTTGTTGTCAGTAATTTGAAGTTCAGCCTTGGTGATATTGGTTTTGAATCCATCTTCTATGTGTTCCACATGCTTTGTTTGATTGTTTGCGGTTGCAATACCAATCTATTATTCCCACTGACCAGGAAGTATATGGAAATGAAAGCCTTTCTAAATTTGGAATTAAAACCTAAATGTAATTTGCAGAGCAAACATCTCAAATAATACCATTTATCGAATTTTTACACAAAGCCATTTGATTTTATTCAAAAGGCAATTTAATCAAGTAAAAATGCCGTTTAATTCATACATTCTAACATTTGGAAAGTCGATCTTTGGAAAATTAAGTGTCGAGAGATATGGTTACAATAATAAAATACCGCACAGGCACGGAAGGTACTGTTATATGGAGACTATACGAAAATTAGGAACTGCAAAACAATTTTGTATCAGAGGTTAATAAATCCATTAACAATTTTGACACACATGATTAAAACACCGAATATTAGGAGATTTCGCTATATGAAGTCTATCCGAAAACGTGAATCTGTATTAACATGTTTCTGTCGTAGGAGGCGGTACCCACTTTAAAACAGTTCCGATGGAAAATACGTATAAAATCATAGAAATACCGAACATCAGTGATAAAATTATAGGGGACTCTCAAGAAACTTATATAAACAATCTAATGCAAAAAATGGTATTACCTATCGCGAATTTCAAATTCCATCTTAGAAATAATTCCATTTAAAAAAAGGGGTAGTCATTAAAATACCGAATATCTGGAGGGGCCGTTGTAGAGTCTATAACCCAAAATGGACGTGTATGAAGCGTTTTTCAAATTAATCTGGTATACATTCCAAAAATACTTTAAATCGGGCGGTAATAGTATATAAGTTGTCTGGGTTACAATTGTTACTTCGGACAGTTATAAGCGGAATGGCAACTTTATATATTCTCCATACTATTGTGGAGGGTATTATGCTTGTAGTTCTCTTGTCCTTCATAGACATCGAGCAGTAATTGGTGCATCTCTACCACAAAGAGACAAGTAAGACATTAAATTAATTAAAAAAGGAGCTGCGATATTCCAATCATTGTGGATACATAAGATATTCTTAAGGATATGCTACATTATATAGTGAAAGAATTCTATAAATCAAGTATTTTTATCATAGTATTTAATATATGACAGACTCAATTACGTGCAGCGAGAATTCGCAGTCCAAATTAAAACTATTTGAAAGTAGTTCTTAAAGGAACCCAATACCTAATAGCACGTTGGAGTTTGATCTGACCAAATGCGTGCCAAGGTTTGTCGGTTGTACAAAAGTTTTATAGAACGTGGCAGAGATCGCTTATAGCAAATGACAAAGTTTAAAAGAAATGTATTTTAATCGAATAAATGAAGGGCCATTGTTTCTAGTTTTGCATGCAAACATCTCCAATTTGCAATCAAATCTTCTAGTAGCTTGATATTAATATCAACTCCATGAAAGCTTGAGATGTAGATAAAAATCCAAATTTTCAATATCTATTTACGCATGCGCAGGCTCTAACACCGTCAATAATCTGAAACGGTATTTCATTATTGTTAACCCGCGTTGAAATTGTATTAATTTTATAACATAAAGCGGAAATTATATAATTAAATATATTAAAAAAGTGGAAATTGCTTGGAGGCTGTTCCATTTCTGCTAATTTATTGCATTTTAACAAGCAGTTAGTGTGCGGAATTGGATATGTATATATTTTTACAAACAGCACTGAACAGAACCAAAACCACGGTTCGAACTGCCTTAAAAGCCATTTCAAAAACCGAACTCTGGTTCAAAGTAATATCTGTACTATTTCATTATCATCAGAGGTTTTCCCCCAATATATTTGATTTTTTATTTGTTCCCGTACAAAATTCAATTGACGAAAAGAATGTTGCCTGCGGACAAGCCTCGTCGATTGGAATGGGCCCAAAGGGCACAAAGGTCCGTCGAATATGGGCAACCCTATATAAATTATTCCATATCATGCTTACCTCTGCTCCCGTAGAAAGTGTGTATTTCATTCGCCTGAAAGAAGAAATCATCGATTAGTCTTAATGTCATTTTCATAATAATATATACTTCACCTTCATGCCACAGGACCCGCACTGTCCTCAATTTCAGGTAAAAGAAAAAGGTGCGGCCTTTAAGGGAAGCATATAATGGGTAAAGGAATAAGAACGTATTAACCCTGTACACATGTATATTTTACAAGTCCTTGGGGCATAGTTCTTAAATTGTTTATCCCTTTGAATACTCATGAGTCTCTCCCTTGGAAGGTAAAACGATTGATACCTGGACCTAATAAAATAAACAAATACGTGTTAATAAAAGTAGCCATAGATAATGATGTCCACTCACCAGAAATATATATTTGTTATTCTGTTTCCAGCACCCACTAACAAATAAATTCAAACATTTTTCCTGTTAATATGTTTTTTGCACAATTTTTTTTTTGTTGACATTTCAGTGTCGCATTAATCTGTTACAATTTCCCTTTTGCAAACATTCAATTGCAAGAGACGCCGCAAAACAAAATCTTGTGCAACATATGTATCACGTAAAAATATGATTAACACTTCACTTTCCCGGTACCATTGTTATGCGTAAGCATTTCCTTCTACATATTGCTTTTTTTATAATTTTATAATTAAAATTTTCCATTTTTTACAAGTTGACAAAATTAATTTCTGCGGACAACTTCACCGACCAAACGATAAGGTCACACTAAGCACGAAATTAGACTAACAGTCTGTTGGTTGATCTATTCCAATTTTTTGGATAAAATTTCAAACAAACCACGTCAATATATGTTAAAATCATTACTTTTTCAGTATGTATGATAATTCATAATTTTTTAAGTAATTTTTCTTCTTTATTCTACTTTTTCTTATAATTGAAAATACATTATTTCTACAATTTGACGAACTATTTTCGTTGTCAATTTTACCGGCCAAACAAGAAGGGTGTACTAAGCACGAAAACGGCCCATTGCTCAGTTGTTATAACGGCTCTTTAAATTATTTACTTAAATGATATTTATTAAGTCCTATATTTAGGAAAATGCGTCTTAAACTTTAAAAGAGGAACTTTCCGTTATGTGGGGTCTGTACTAAATAGTGGACCTGTAATGAAATATGGAAGGGGTGGGGATGGTGAAGACACCAATTCGACAGGTTGAGTTACTAAGATATTGACATGATGGGTAAATCCATGGTAGAAGAATACAGGTAGATGCATCAACACTTAGGAACATTGATTGAACATTGCTCATTCATTTTTAAATAACTGACATTTTTTAGGCATTCTTAGTATAATCATTAAAAGCTGCCATGGTCACATTTAACTTTTAACACAAAGGGTAAGAACACGAATTCGAAGTGTGGCTTTACTTTTAAAAACTTGCATTATGGAGATTATTGTATTTTTTACGTGATACAAACCGCTGCTTCTAGTCGTTAAGATTTCAAAGGTGTGTGTCTATGCTATTCTTGTTATATGAGGAGTGTGTCATGAATTACTAAGTTGTTATTGGTAGCACTTTTTGTAGTTCTGCTTTGAAGTATTTTTCTTGCTTACTCTTGTATATCGATAGTCAAAACTCGATCTACTTATCCCTAGAACTGTGTACAAAATTGAAGGCAGGATTAATAATTTCCTCATTTCGTATTTCGGCGGAAACAAAATAAAGTTATTTCGTTGCACACGGAAAAAAACTACAAAATCCGAGAATTAATTAAAAATTATAACTAATTACAAATAGTATCTAAGCAATCGAAACAAAGAAAAAACCAAACAAAAGTCATTTGTCATGCCTTTGGGAGCGACCGATGAAAAAAGAATATAGTTGTGCAAGAATTTAGCATACAAAAATGATTATTTAGTGAAAATTCAAGAATTTCATTGAAAAGCAATTAATCCAAAGCTAACTTAACAACGAAATGGAAGTCTTTCAAACGGATAACTTCTACATTTTTGTAAAGCGAGAGAAGAGTCTTTGGTGGAATAGGACAACATCGGAATTTGCCATTAAAGCAGGTAAAGACATTTATTCTAAACAAAGATTTTTTAGAAGGGAAAATTATACCCTATGCACACGACTATAATTAAGTAATAACATTTATAAGTTACTCTACAGAATACAATAATAAAACATTAATTCCAACATAAACAAATGGAAATATGACCGCTTGGTTAATAAGAAACTGTTTGCAGATTTTATTGTTGCATGACTCACACATATTGGTGGCAAGCCAAAGCAAAAGGCAGCTTGTGTCGAGATTTTTTTTGTTGAACTTGCAAAACGGGTTGTATTTAAAACAGCAACAACAACCCAGTATCACAAATAAACAATTTTGATTGCTGCCATCCAGACAAACATTCAGTATTCTTTTGTTTAATTTATTTGAAAGGCGTTAACCCAATGCCTAATTGTTTTCAACCACAGCTTTCATCCATTGCCTTTGTTTTGTTTTTGAAATCAGTTCCACATAATAAAACATAGAGTATTGTATATACAAATGTTTTTTGATGACCATAGTGGCAGTGTTTTTGGCGCATAATTGATTCATTCGATTAATTGGGTGAAATATAATACCGGATACCTATTATATGGAATACATTTCATTTCAAACTCAGTAACAATTCATGATGCTACCCACGAGCTAAACTAAACGCCTTAGTCTTAGATGATACTTATTTATAGATAAGTTGAGATGTTGAGGTTGAAATTGCAAAGTCATGTTGCAACTTTGAAAAATTAGTTAACGCTTGTTTGATGATATCGTCCAATGAGGAGAATATTGAACATAAGATTCTAATAAAATCCCTTATGAATTTCAAATAGCTTCCCAGCAAATCATGTTGGTTCAACCACGGTCAACTTTCGAAATGTTTTTCATTGAAACTTTTTTTCTCCTGATTATAAATTATTTTTGACAGTTAGATGTCGGAAACTATATAAACGGAAAAGGATGTTGGTCCCGTCCAATTTAACCTTTACTTACTCTTTTTCTTCACTTTATTATATATAACTTCTAATCTGTGGTGTGTGTGGCTAATAGTTGTGTTTGGAACATAATGATTAAAAAAAATCTTGTGATATATTCATAATAATTTATAAATAATCACGAGAAAAGTTGAAACGATTATAAATACAGGGTTACATAAAAAAACTGCAACAACTGATTTTGTAACCATTCTTGGGCGATAGTGCTGAGTTATAGCAGCCCACACCATCACCATGACCGGCGCTTGAGTTCTGGTGGCCAAACGAAGGTGCAAATTTTCAGCTGACCTCTTTGGCAAGTACGAATGTTTTCTCATCGGAGAAAACCAAATTCGCAGTTCACCACTTTCGGCCAAGCGAAGCAACTCTTTAGTTCTTTTGAGGCTATTTTCTTTCTGTTGCGGTGTAAGTTCTGGCACTTTTTGTAATTTCAATGGCTTTACCCAGATCTCATTTTTCAACATTTGCCGAATGGAATATTGCGATATGTTCAGTTCACGAGCCATTTTTCGACGCGGGTTTAGATCAAGTCACTTCTTTACTTTTCGAACCATTTCTGCTGATATTGCTGTTTTCTTTCGTCCACTTTCTTGTCGTTGGGCTGCGGTACCAGTATTACGGTAACGAGCGATGGTATGAGACACAAAGATTTATTCACATTTAAATGGTGGAGTGCCCTAACGATAGCCACATGTGGTTTTCCAGCCAAATATAAAGAAATCACACTATCACGCTTGAATTCCATCACGAATAACGTTTTGCTTGTAAATAATATAATGCGTTGCCACTGGAATAATTTTAACAGCTGTCGGACGAATGGCTTGGAAATGACAACAGTCTGAAGTTTTTTTTTTCATCTCACCCTGTATGTGGTTTATATTTTTTCTTATATATAAAGAATAATGTTCATAACCAATCAATGTACATTCTTTGATTCATATATTTTGCTACTGTTACCTTTGGTTTTTAAATTTAAACATCTGTACTATTTTTAGAAAGTTTTCTGCAATTATTTGAAAATAAAAAAAAAAATATATAATGGCCTTATGTGTTTATATCCTTACCTTCTCTTGATATTCATACTCACACGCAATTGCAATTATCCATTTTAAATTTGAATGCTTTCAGCTTTCCATCACATCACAGTGACGGGCAGCATGAAAAGTGTCAAGCAATCATAAAGGCTCAACTGCAATTATTGTCACGATTAGTTAGGATATTTTGCATATGAAACAAATGCTATGGGGATATTTAATATTATTTTTTGTTTTTGAACATAATATCAACTTCATAAAGAATTATAAATCATTTCCTTAAGAAATTTTATCAAGCTGCTATGACTAAGCTCATGGGAAATTCTGTTTGACGTATGATAATGCAATATATAAGGTCTTGTTCAAATACATATATGATACAATCTGCAATAATAGAATGCGTAAACTTTATTGGATACAAAAAGAAAACTGCCATATATGGATGAATGATTGTATAAGTTAAACAAAAGTTTCTACAGTCATACTTCTTCAAGAACAATGTTGATTTTTTTATATATTTACAAAATAACTTTGGAGGTTTTTAAATTTATGGTCATTTTGGTTTTCACTTTCTTGTCTATCTCTCTTTTTTGTAACATTTTACATTTCATCATATTGGCTATGTGCCAATTATCCTTTTGAATTCTATTCTTATCCAAATTATAGACAATAGATTTGCTTGCGTAACGTGTGCTTTATAAATTATGCGTATGAAAATCATTTGTTGGAAGCAGTATAGACACCATTAGATGACGTCGTCTGTTGAAGGCATAATGACGATATCATGGAAGTAGTATATAAGGTTACGGTTTTTAGGCTCAATCAAAAAGCCCAACCATATATTTATACCCTACACCACTAGATGGTCAGGGTATCATGTCTTTGTGCATTTTTTGGAAACAAGATAGACCCATAGTTCCTTTTGATGATCTGCATAGAATCACATTCTAAGTCGATTTATGCATGTCTGTCTGTCCATGCATTTTTGTAAACAAAGTACAGGTCGCATTTATTGCCCAACCCAGATGAAATTTTGCACAAATCATTTGTTTGACCCAAACCCTATTGAAATTGGAGATAATCGGGCAAAAATTAGATATATATCATATACAGGGTGAGATGAAAAAACTGCAACTAACTTCAGACTGCTATCATTTCTAAGCCACTTGCCCGACAGCTGTTAAAATTATTCCAGTCACAGCTCATTATATTGTTTACAAGCGTACAAAAGCGAGAGATGGAGAGAATTTTCCAGAAAAAAAGTTATTCCTGATGGAATTCAAGCGTGATAGTGTGATTTCTTTATATTTGGCTGCATGACCACAAGTGGCTATGGTTAGAGCACTCCATCATTTAAATGTGAATAAATCTTTTTTGTCTCGTACCATCGCTCGTTACCGTGATACTGCCAGCGTAGTCCGACGTCAAGGACGGAAGGAAACAGCAACATCAGCAGAAATGGTTCGAAAAGTAAAGAAGCGACTTGATCGAAACCCGCGTCGCAGGTGGCCGAAAAATGGCTCGTGAGCTGAAAATATCGCAATATTCCATTCAGCAAATATTGAAAAACGAGCTAGGGGTAAAGTCATTGAAATTCCAAAAAAAGCAAGAACTTACACCGCAACAGAGAGAAAATAGACTCAAAAGAGCTAAATAGTTGCTTCGCTTGGCCGAAATTGGTGAACTGCCGAATATGGGTTCCTCCGATGAGAAAACATTTTTTATCCAGTAGTTTGTAAAAAAAACAAATTACCATGTTTACTTGACAAAGAGGTCAGCTGAAGATGTGCACCGTCGGTTGGCCAACAGAACTCAAGCCCGGACATGGTGATGGTGTGGGTCGCTATAACAGCCGATGATCTCTCTCCTCTCGTATTAATCGACTGTGGCATCAGAATAAATGCCGAATATTAACGCGAAAATATTCTGAAGGGTGTATTAAAGTCTTGGGCACGCAAACATTTTGGCCGCAGACCTTGGACATTCCAACAGGACTCAGCACCATCGCACTCAGCCCGCGCTACCCAAGAGTGGTTATAAAATTAGGTTCCTCGCGTCATTTCCAACGCACAATGGCCACCAAAATCACGGATACCAATCCGTTGGACTATTGTGTCTGCAGTATTTTGGAAAGTAAATTTGGCACTAAAAAATACCAAAGTGTCGATCACCTCAAACAAGCAATTCGCCAGGAAAGGGCCAAAATAACGCAGAGCAACATTCGGGCAGCGTATGGCGGTTTCATTGGCCGTTGGATGGCTATAAAGGTAACCGATTCGAACAAATCTAAATTTATTCTAAAATTTGATGCTATTTCCCACATTTTTTGCTATCATTCAATAAAATTTAAAAATATGTAAAAATTATGGCGCTTGACTTTGTTGCAGTTTTTTATCTCATCCTGTAGATAAGGATAGAGCTTTTAGGCTCGGTCAAAACTACTATTGGCTTTGTGAATATGATCCAAACAGTGGACTTTGTTCGATTTCGAATATTATATTTTACTGGTAACTCCCCCCGTCAGTGCTTTCATTAGCTATGTGTGAGTTCGACCATATACCTTATACTAAAATATAATTTTTTTTATCAATTTGTTCCTAATTACCAATCTGCCAGATAGGGCAAGCATTTCCCTGAAGGCAAATAATATTCATTATACGTGCCTAATGTAATTGTGTAGAGTATTAGAGAGCCAATCCTATGCTGTCTGCGTGCTTTCTTCTTTCATATCTTTCGCCAATTTTAATATAATTTAATCTGTTTGTTCTAAAGACATGAACTTCTGCTCACTTTAAGTGTAATCTCTGCATTTGACGGTTGTAGAGCAAACCACTTTAGGATTTTTTTCTTATCCTTGGTATATGTGTATGTCGTACAATGTATGGACGAAAGAGTAGCAACGCATAGCAACTATTAATGGTGTTGTGATTTTTTCTACTATCATTTTCTAAATAAAAACATATATGAGGGTGGTCTGAAGAATCATTTTCCTTGAAATTGAGAGAAGAGGATAACACATTTGTAGATAGCAATTTATTTAATAACTCATAGTGGAAATTCTCAATTTCCGTTCAAATTATAAAATATAGGAAATTTATTTTTCGTAGCAACCTATGTTATAGACCAAAAAGCTATCAACAAAACAACCCTTCTCCATGTTCCTTCAATATAAAATGACCACCATTTCGCAAGCTCATATTATTCGCTAGAATGGATGCAATAAAAATAGAAAACATTTTTGCAAAATATTAAACGCATAAAGTGAACTTGTGTGCAGAGGTATAAACCTTGAAGCTGGTTTGTGGAAAAAGGGCTGCTATACACATAGCAATCATTGCAATATTCTTACACTATTGCGGGCAGGGATTAAAATGCGAAACTATCTGTATTAATTAACAAATACAATGTTAAAAATTTCTTGCAGCAATAATTTTTTAAGGGTTATAAACTAGACATTTTTAACTTTCGGGTAGCAGATGAAAATTAAACTTTATCACTTTTGCATTATCTGGATTTGGACCTACGGGTCGAATACCTTGAAAACGATGGATTTCAAGATAAGCAAGAGTATCTACTAACTTGGATGAGTATGGCGCATAAACCTGGAGAACTGGAATCCAAGACAGTAGCTCATCATATTATCACAGGCTTACGGACAGAGTATATTCGAAGTAAAGTTTAAGTTATTTAGAAAAAATAGCTGAAAAGCCGAATATCTCATTCATTATCTTTTAGCTTAACAGCCAATTTAAATTGGATAATTGCAGCCCATGTCAAAGAAACCTGCAGGAATCCGCATCTGAATCAGTCTTAGAAACCAAATATCTGCTATAATTTGAGGATTGCTAGTTGCTTTTTGGAAACGATGTCTAAAATTATGGCCAGCAGTACGTTTTGATATTCTAGTTCTATGAGGCGATTATTAATCACTGTTCGATCTGAAAGTCAATTTTGATGGGGTCATTTTTGCTGGATCGAATGAGGTCGCTAAGGCGTCCACACCGAAATCCGGCGAAGATGAATTTGTATTTTTTGGAAATGTTTTCAATTTATTTTTGTTTTCTTGGGGAATAAGGTCGTCCATGGCATAGCCTCCATACCATGGCATGGACTCCGAAACTAAATCTCATACCCGTCCCAGGCACCCAGGTATCACGTAACACCTTCTGAATACAGTCGGTACCCTGACTGCAAACCTGCAACACTGATAGGCGGTCGCAAAACACCGCAGCGTTAGTGGATCCTCTTTATGTGGGATCATCACAGAGACTTAACTACAACGTGAGATAAAAAAACTGCAACAAAGTCAAACGCCATAATTTTTACATTTTTTTTTAAATTTTATTGATTGAAAGCAAAAAATGTCAGAAATAGCATCAAATTTTAGATTAAGTTTAGATTTGTTCGAATTGGTCACCTTTGGCACGAATTATGGCCTTTAAACGGCCAATGAAACCGGTACACGCTGCCCGAATGTTGCTTTGCTGTACATTGGTCCATTCTCAACGAAGCGACAATCGAAAGTGCACATTTTCAGCTCACCACTTTGGCAAGTAAACACAATAATTTGGCTTGTTTACAAACTGCTGGACAACGAATGTTTTCTCATCGGAGAAAACCAAATTCGGCAGTTCACCGCTTTCAGCCAATCGAAGCAACTCTTTAGCTCTTTTGAGTCTATTTTCTTTCTGTTGCGGTGTAAGTTCTTGCACTTTTTTGGAATTTCAACGTGGTAGCCGAGCTCATTTTTCAATATTTGCCGAATGGAATATTGCGATATGTTCAGCTCACGAGTCATTTTTCGGCCACTTCGAGTTTTGAAATCAAATCGAAGACAGCAGTGCACAAGAATGTCAGCGAAGCTGACTCTTACAGGACGATGCTGCTTTTGTCGCAAGTACCCAAGTCTCACGAGGCACCACACTTTTCTCGCTTCAATGTGGGTGAATTTACCTCCTTGCTTGGGTACCTCTTAGGAACAGTCTCCATTACGTGATTAAGGCGGCTGCAGCTTTGATGATGTCGCGGAGAAACCTTTCTGATACCCGAACATTAAAAGGGTAGGGTTAAAAGGGTAGTCCTCTCTGAAATCTCGCCAATGAGCATTTTTATTTTTAAGGAAAGTCCGGCGTTTAAAGGTTGTGAGATAGTCTCATTCAAGAGAAATTATGGTTTGCCAAGTCACGTAACGAACTGTGACACTCTCCTCTTATCCTCATTTACCGTGTCGAATGACGGCAATCAATATGCTCTGCCAACGCTGCCTGTTGGTCGTTTACCAGGAAGAATGCCTAGCGGCTATTGCTTTCCAAAAACAAACTACTGCCATTTTTTAGTGAATTGTAAACTTTTCAATGCATTGTTAAAGCGTGTATTTTTCTTTTTGTAATAATGGTGTATTTTCGACTTGTCAAATATCGGGTAATTCGAGAGCAACACCCTTGCTGGCAAGCCTTAAATATCAAACGTTCACTTGTCACTCAGTTAATTATTCATTTCAATATTAATTTCCAACCCTTTTGAAAATATTTTAGTCAATATTTAACTTTTTGAAAGCGTAAATAATTTCTTTGATTTCCGAGAAGACCAATGTGTGATAAATTTATAAATACATTCAGCAACAAATGTGTTGGCTTCAAAAAACCATTAACTTAATTTGAAATATTTGAGGTGGTGAAATTAATATTTTATTGCTTTTAACTACTGTCGAAGAAAACTAATTTATAAAGCCCTCGTTGCGTGACAGCTTTGTTTTTTTTTTTTTTTTTTTTTTTTTGGGAAAACAAATAATCAACAAAATAATGTTGTGATTTCTAATAGTTTCAAATTAAGCAGCCAATTGTTGGCCAGTTTAATGGCAATAAGAGTCCAGTAATTAGCAGGAAATTAAAGAATTAACCCACTTATTATTGAGCCTCAAAATGGAATACTTGGTACTACTTAATGCTCCCAAAAACCAAATGAAGGCAAAGACCAAAATACTGCTAAAAGTCAAACGCCATAGTTTTTACATTTTTTGTTAATTTTATTGAATGTAAGCAAAAAATATAGGAAATAGCACAAATTTTAAAATAAGTTTAGATTTGTTCGAATTGGTCACCTTTGGTACGAATTATGGTCTTCAAACGGCCAATTAAACGGTCACACGTTGTATGTGTGCGGTCTGCGGTATTTTGGTTCATTCCCGGCAAAGCGCTTCCTTGAGGTGATCGACAATTTGGTATTTTTAAGTGCCAACCTTGCTTTCCAAAATACGCCAGACACAACAGGCAGTTCACCACTTTCCTTTCAGTCTATTTTCTTTCGGTAGCGGTGTAAGTTTTTGCACTTTTTGGAATTTCAATGGGTTCATTTTCTATATTTGCCGAATGGTATGTTGCGATATGTTCAGCTAACGAGCCATTTTTCGGCCACTGCGATGCGGGGTTTGAACCATTTCTGCTGATATTGCTGTTCTCTTTCGTCCACTTCCTTGACGTCGGGCCATGCTACCAGTATCACGGTAACGAGCGATGGTACGAGACACAACAGATTTATTCACATTTAAATGCTGAAGTTCTCTAACGATAGCCACTTGTGGTTTTCCCGCCAAATACAAAAAAAGCACACTATCACGCTTAAATTCCATCAATTACACACCAAAATGCTTTTGTACGCTTGTAAACAATATAATGAGCTGTCACTGAAATAGTTTTAACAGGAAATTGAAGAATTAACCACCATGTTATTGATCTACAAAAGCTTAACCAGAAATATCTATATTTATTTCTGATTAAGCTTTTGTAGCTCAATCACATGTCGGACCATAATATTTGATTAAATTTGTCGCCGTTTATTACAGAAAAAATAGCTTCTCTGTATTTTAGATTACCTATATTCATTTTAATTAAAATTGTAGTTTGCATAAGATGATATGCAAACTTTTATTCCTTTGGGAATAATGATGGAATGTTCAAAAATGTGTACCTTACAGTAGTTGCCTGTCCCTCCCTCTTGAGCCTTTCGTTGGCTTTAATAATCATTTGTCATTTAAATCTTCTTTTGGAGCAGCATTCTTAATTTCAATATTCAATTCTCACCAAATTAAATATTTTAATATTGTTATTATTTTTTTCTTACAGGCTGGGATCTCTCCTCTGTCGATGATATTGAATGCATTGGCATAACGCATGGTATTGTAGGCGTTATATCCCTACCGAATGTCTATGAACCGCATCTTGTGATAATTAAGGAGGCTACACCAGTTGGTGTACTTTATCCACCACATTTAGTGTATAAAATTAAGTCAATATGTATTTTAAGTGCTGACGATCCGGACACTAGCCTTACACCATGTACACGCCATTCAAGGAGTTCCAATACAACGCCGACACATTCTAGAAACTCTTCAACATCATCGTCATCAATTGCTGCGAACAATGCAAGCAATGCGAATGTCAATTCCGCGACATCAACATCGTCGTCACGAACCAAACTATTTGAGGGCAATCAGCTGATGAATAAAACCTGGGGTGCTGTCAAAAGTGCTGGAACAACCATCAAGAATACAACACAACAAGCCGCTGCGTTGGCCTCAAATCAAGTTAAATCTTCGGTGGGCATTAAGGATCCATCGAGAATTGAGAAACGTATTACAGAGGAGTTACACAAAGTATTCGATGATACGGATAGTTTTTATTTTTGTTTTGAGCATGATATTACCAACAATTTGCAACGTCATTTGCCGGCCGGCTCAACAGATCAGCAGACGCCGGATGAGAGGTTCTTTTGGAACATGCATATGTTGGAAGCAATTATGAAATTGAATGTAAGTAGAAAATATTCTCTTAATATACATGGAATTGTACTTAATATATTTTCCCTTTTCATTTGTTACAAAGGACAAAACATGGATCTTGCCCATTATTCAGGGTTTCGTGCAAGTCGAGACATGTGTCATTGGCAATGAATGCTTTAACTTGGCCTTGGTTTCGCGCAGATCAAGACATCGTGCTGGCACGCGTTACAAGCGACGTGGTGTCGATGAAAATGGAAATTGCGCCAACTATGTTGAGACCGAGCAAATACTCACATTTCGCCATCATCAATTGGCCTTTACTCAAGTTCGGGGATCTGTACCAATTTATTGGTCCCAGCCAGGCTATAAATATCGACCTCCACCTCGTTTGGATAGGGGTGAACAAGAGACCCAAGAGGCCTTTGAGATACATTTCAACAAAGAACTCGACGTTTACGAGGGCGTGTGCATAGTAAATTTGGTCGAACAAAGCGGCAAGGAGAAGCTAATTGGTGATGCATATGCTAAGCATGTTTTGAAATACAACAATGATCGTATTGTCTACATAACTTTTGATTTTCATGACTATTGCCGTGGCATGCGTTTTGAAAATGTCTCGGCACTGGTAGAGGCTTTAGCCCCGGAGGCTGGTGCAATGGGTTTCCATTGGCGTGATCAACGTGGTGTTATTTGTAATCAGAAATCAGTTTTTCGTGTTAACTGCATGGATTGTCTGGATCGTACAAATGTGGTGCAAACCGCTTTGGGCAAAGCAGTATTAGAGTCACAATTAGTTAAATTGGGTATGGCTCCGCCGTATACACCCATACCAGAGGCTTTGAAATCCCCGTTTATGGTATTGTGGGCGAATAATGGTGACATTATAAGTCGTCAATATGCCGGAACAAATGCATTGAAGGTAATAAAAAACAACTTAAACTGCATAAGAAATAAAGAAACCATATTTTTCTTTTAGGGTGATTACACACGTACGGGTGAACGTAAAATAAGCGGCATGATGAAAGACGGCATGAATTCAGCTAATCGGTAGGTTATCAACTGTTTAAAACTTATATGTTCTTTATTATTTTGTATCTGTTTAGTCATTCTTGTTTTGTTAATAGTTTAGAAAAAAAAAAAAAAAAAACAATTGTTGAAAATATTTTGCCAATGCTTTTTCTCGTAAAAATTTAAATGGGATTGTTGACAACATTTTGTGAATATTTTCGTTGGGCTCTATCACTTTTCTTCTTCTATTCCATTTTGTTCCACTAATATTCTACATTTATTTACAGCATGCTTTTCCCAAAATATTACTAATTTTACAATAGAATTGTTTTCAAAGACATGTTTATGGATATGTGGGTAGAATAAGATCATTATACATTTTTTAGAACTCCATCAAAAGACTTATTGCAACACTTCCCAGTTGCCAACGAACCAACGCCTATTACATTTGTGAGACAACAATCAATTATTTTTATTCCCTCCACCATACAATACCTGACCTGTCCAAATGTTCGCCGGAGACCCGATAAAATGTATTTTAAATTGTATGTATTATGTTAAGTATTGATAATGACCCCTCATTTAGCGGTAACTCTTGATTTTGACAATTTAAGCCATATGTTCTAAAGTTCGGGATTCAGTGTTCGTGGTGGTTTCTTCCACCTCTGGCAAACATTTTCTTGCACTCCAGTATTTCGATGTATTTCTGCAAATTTGTCAACAAATGTACAGGGTGAGATTAAAAAACTGCAACCAACTTCAGACTGCTGTCATTTTTAAGCCACTCGACCGACAGCTGTTAAGATTATTCCAGTGACAGCTCATTATAATATTTACAAGCGTACGAAAGCATTTTGGTGTGAATTTTCCAGAAAAACTGTTACTCGTGATGGAATTCAAGCGTGATATCTTTATATTTAGCTGGAAAACCACAAGTTGCTATCGTTAGACCACTCCAGCATTTAAATGTGAATAAATCTTTTGTGTCTCGTACCATCGCTCGTTACCGTGATACTGGTAGTGTAACCCGACGTTAAGGAAGAAAACAGCAACATCAGCAGAAAACTTGATCGAAACCCGCGTCGCAGTGGCCGAAAAATGGCTCGTGAGCTGAACATATCGCAAAATTACATTCGGCAAATATTGAAAAATGAGCTGGGGGTAAAGCCATTGAAATTTCAAAAATTGCAAGAACTTACATTGCAACAGAAAAAAAAACTCAAAAGAGCTAAAGAGTTGCTTCGCTTGGCTGAAAGTTGTGAACTGCCGAATTTGGTTTTCTCCGATGAGAAAACATTCGTTGCCCAGCAGTTTTGTGAACAAAAAACAAAGAAAATTATCTGCTTACTTGCCAAAGCGGTCAGCTGAAAATGTGCACCTCCGGTTGGTCACCAGAACTCAAGCGCCGGTGATGGTGTGAGCCGCCATAACAGCCGATGGTCGCTCTCCGCTCGCATTAATCGGCCGTGGTATCAGAATAAATGCCGAATATTATCACGAAAATATTCTGAAGGGTGTATTAAAGTCTTGGGCACACAAACATTTTGGCCGCAGACCTTGGACATTCCAACAGGACTCAGTACCATCGCACTCAGCACGCGTTACAAAATGAGGTTCCTCACTTTATTTCCAGCGCACAATGGCCACCAAAATCTCCGGATACCAATCCGATGGACTATTGTGTATGGAGTATTTTGGCACTAAAAAATACCAAAGTGTCGATCACCTCAAGCAAGCGCTTCGCCGGGAATGGGCCAAAATACCGCAGAGCAACATTCGAACAGCGTGTGACGGTTTCTTTGGCTGTTTGAGGGCTATAATTCGTGCCAAAGGTGACCAATTCGAACAAATCTAAAATTATTTTAAAATTTGATACTATTTCCGACATTTTTAACTTTCATTCAATGTGTAGCTCGAAAATCATTTAATCCCGACCTCCCAAGCTCCTAGAGACATTAACATTCAATGGCATGTTAAATTCGAACGTCGACTGCCTAGACCAACCAAGGTAGCTTTGGCCTAATTGGTGTTGCGTGCGAATTGGTAAGGATGTGCTAAATGGCTGTCTAACGTGTGATACAGGTCCGCACAATACGCTGCACCCTTTTAATTGTCCATACAAACCTGCCTACTTCACTACTAAAAATGTAGGATGTAGCCTAAATCCTGAAAGGGTAGCCGATTTTTTTTTTGTTACAACAACAGTTTTTTGCTAGGAGCACAGGGACTTCTTATGAATACTGTGCTTTGCTGTTTTCTTATCCTTCCTGTTCAATCGGATCATGGCCCTTTGTGTCGCATGGAGTTTAATCCCAGTTTTGAGTAGGAGACAAAAAATCACCTTCTTGCCATACATATTAACGATTATCCTCTTGATATTGTTGGTATTTTCCTGAACCTTCTATATATATATTTTTTGGTTAATAGCCAAAAAATATAATTTTCAAATTAAATCAGACAATTACGTTGTCAAATATTACCAAAAATCTCTTTGAAAACAATTCTATAAAAAATATCATTTGTAATATAAAATAATTACTAATGCCTTTACACATTATATCGAACATATACTTCTCTATTAACCAGCAATGAAAACATTTTCACAGACATAATGCCACATGGTTTCTCAACACTCAATGTTTTCTTGTTTTTGTTTTTCGTTTCGATTGTACACATCCTCAAACTCTTCGTATCTTTGTTCTTTCTCTTCTTTTTTTATTCGTAGTTTTTTCATACAAAATTTTGCCGACACATTTCGTCAGTGCATGATTGATTTAATGCAGGGCCAACTGAATGATGCCCAGCAATTGAAAGAGGATGAAGTGTTGACAACAATACTACAAATCTTGTGTCCCTCGGTGCCAGCGCCAACAAGGGGCTATTATTATGCGGGTGTTTTGCAACCGGAATTGCAATTATTGGAAAACGTCATTTATACCAGGTGGCGTAGCAATAACAATCACCATGGCGAAGATGGTGGTGATAATCACGACATTGATGCTAGTAGCAAACTTGTCGCCAACAGCAATTTTAAATTGCAATTAGATATTTTCAACAATTCCATATTTCAACATTTTTTAGTTATGCCTTTCGTTTCAATTTGTTTTATTTTAACATTGCAAAAGGTATTGATTATTTTTGAAGTTATTTGTTATTATTTTACATGAGTTTGATTTTGGCAATTCTTTAAATCGTATCTTTGTATTGTCTCTTGTAGTTATTACTTGGCACGTTTTAAGGACAGCTATCGCCAAGCCACCATAGATTTAATGTTAGGAAATCCCGTGACCTCTGAGTCTTTAAACGCATTGGGGGGTCAAGCGGCCCCGGACGACACCGATGCTTCGGAAGGCGCCGAACACGCAAAATTGCTTGTGGAGGATTGCCGTAAACTGTTATTGGGCTCAGCTCAATATCCGGTTGGTGCATGGGGTCTGATTGATGCCGATCCAGGGTATGTTATTTGAATAAATTACATATTCGTGTTATTTTAATTATTTTACATTTTGTTTCAGTTCTGGTGACATAAATGAAACCGAAGTTGATAGCATATTATTGTTAACTGATGATAGTTATATAGTAGCCGAATATGATTCACATTTAGATAAGATTGTACGTTTTGAAAAGGTGCTTTTGGAAAACATTGTTATGATTGAATTGGGCATGTATCAACAATCGAAAATGTTCCAAGGCTCGACGCCAGCAATGCTGTGTCTGCGTATCAACTACACAGTTGATGGTGTTGATGGATATTTCCATATGTTTAGATCGGCAAATATTCGATTCTTTAACAATATGGCATATCCGATTAAGACACAAGAGGAAATATCTGGTAAGTTGCTTTTGTGAAACACTTTGAAAAAGATATAAATACGTTTTTTCTTTGCCTTTGCAGAATCCATGCAATCGATTGTGGAAATGTTTCGCATAGCTTTGGATACGGCTGGCCGTCCCGATGTGAAATTTATTACAGGTGGTGTCTTACAAAGACGTAAGAGTCGAAATCCCCTATTGGAAGTACCAAAGGTGAGTAGATGTTATCAAGCATTAGGAGGAGCAAAAGTCAAACCCAGCATCCACAATGCAGAAGACTCCAATAGTGCATATTATAGAATATAAGTATTTCAAATAGCCAGCCAAAGTTTAAAAGACCTTCTAAAGGTCTGTTATAAAATATAATATCTCTAAAGGTCTTCTTTTGATTTGAGAGCTTTGAAACAGACAGAATAGAAGATATTCCGAATTGATACATAATGTTTTTTTTAAAGAATAGAAATAGACCGAAAGTCACTCTTAAGAAGGTATAATACAAATGCAACGTTTAAGTCGATCTCGAACCCTGGAAAAGAAGCTGGACTGAATAGTATTCACTCTAACGCGGTCTCAGAAGTCTTGGAAGGATATATAATAGTGAATACTGTACTATGGGACCATCCCCTTCCCATCGAAGCAGAAGAGCGGGAGCTGCCCCGACAAACCCGAGTAGTTTTCGCTCAGTTGTCCGGATGGTGCAGCCGTCTTAATTCCTATTGGTCCGGATTGACATCGCTGTTAAGAACAGGTCCACAAAACACACTGCACATATTTCGAAGCCCAGCCAAACCAACTAATTCAAGTTTCGTTTTGGATCCAACCCGTAAAGGTTGCATTCTTTTTAAGACTGAACCCGATTGAGAGAAGTCAGAAAGAACACAGCAGCATAAGCTGCTACATATTAGCTAAGAAATTGAGAATTTTGAAATATTTATTTTTAGTTGTACAATTTTTCTGTCGGATCAACCGTACTCAAAAGCATGTAAAGAAATCATTGTACAGTATCTGTTATCACCATCACAAAAAAACCAACTATTTACTGTTTCTTATTGTTTTAGGGAATGCCTCGCAATCTCTCCGAATCTCAATTGCTGCAAATAAGTTCAAAAGCGTTTTCCAATGTCGCTGGTCAATTCTCGAAATTAGGGCAAACGCTCAATCCAAACAAAAATAAGACATCGAATGCTCCAAGCACATCAAATAAAACCGCTCAAATTAATCCTCAAGTAATGCGTCAATCACAAACTTCCATAGACAAGTGTATGGAAGCGACAGAGAAGCCAATATTTACCGTGGGTAAATCATCAAAACTCTCCACCAGTGGTTCGGATTCAGAGGAAAATGATAACAGTATTTTTGAACCTGATGTAGATTCTGATACCGAATTGGCCATATCGGCGGCAACAAATTTCAATTTTAACAACGATAACAATTTCTTACCCTCGGTGGGTATTGTCATGGGTAATGCCCAAGAAACTGTGGAAATACAATCGCCCGGTTCAGATAATATGCAACAGTTGAGAGATAAGGATAATGCCGTCAAACATACGGAAAATGTCAATTCAATTTCGATTTCATCGGTGGCTAATAATGTCACTTTGCCAACAGGTCTATTGGAAAATGCTCCACCGTTAAGACCCATTACACCCAATCCACAAATATGTATACAAGATGATGTGGCTTCGTCGTCGTCATCTGTTGCGCCTGAGAATCAATCAAGGTCGGTATTTTATATGTGATTTTCTCTTTAAGTTTTATCGTACCCAACATATGGTGGTGGCTAGCGTGCCGTTTAAATTGTAATGTTTTTAATTTTAATTTATTGCAAAAACAAATTTATTATTCCAATTTTTTAGTTAAATTTTCTCCGACATACCTCATACAATGTAATGTTGTTTTATAGTCTTATCATTATGTAGTTTTAAGTTGAGTTAAGTGTTACATATAACAGAATTTTAAAACACCATTAGGTTTGTCCTTTTACTCTTCTAATAAAATTTAACCAGTGAGTTATGTTCATAAATTTAAATAGTAAACTCTCATAATCTAACGGAAACTTTCAACTTAACTTGTTTTTTTTTATAAACAAAAATTAGAAAAAAAATCTTTTGTTAAAATTTGATAAAAAAAAAATACATGTACAAATTGCTATAATATTTTGAGTACAGACACACAGATTCAGAATCAGAGTGCCTTTCTTTAGATGTTTGATTTTATTTTTTTTTCGTTTTTGGAAATTTACAATGAAATATTTATTTGTGATTTTATTATGTGTGCTATCTATAAAAAAGTATGCAAATATTTATTTAAAATATTTTATTTTTTATTAAAAAACTTTTTATTTGCATTCAATTTCAATTCATTTCCATTGAATAATCAAAAACTTGCAGGAAAGCTGAGGAATCCACGTTCGTTTGTATGTGGAACATTTAACTTACATTTGATCCTTTACATCTAAATTAGACATTTTTTGTTGTGTTGAAGATGTATGTATGTATTGTCACATTTGCTGTTGTTAATGGTTATATGTGACAATCCAGCCTTTTTTCAATTTATTTATTTAGTAAACTCTTTTTGACCTCCGAATATTTTGTGACCGAATCAGCTCCAAATAAAACTCACTTTCTACTGCTTGGAACCTTGCTGCCTTTGTAAAAATATAGGGATCTGTTGAATGAATGAAGCTCTGCGTTGACTGTGATTTGCGTTTTTAATCTATGAAGTTGGGAGGTTTAACTTTCGGGTATTTTTGGGTTCACCATTGATAAGGCATGAACAATCATTGATACCAGCTAAGATCGGTGACCTATCACACAGATTTGACATTGAAATCGGCAAGAAGTAATGTTGGATGCTTGAGACTATTTATTTTGAGTAAAAGGTATTTAACCTTTTATCTATTTTAGATGGGATCAATGTGACAACAGTATTGAAGGGCATTTTAATATAGACATGGAGGTTGATCTTATTAGTTCGAGGGTTTTCCTAAGATTCTCCTGAATACACGTTTTGAGTTACCTTTCCGATTGTTTGGTTTGATTCGATAAGGATGAAGCACCGTATTCAATTTTAGATCTATTTAAGGCTTGGTAAAAGTGTAATATAACAATGTAATTAGATCAGTTACTGTTTGGGGGCGTGTATACGACAACAATGCTGAAGGTATTTTTAATATTAATAATAGAAATACCAATTAATTCGTTTTCATTGTCCAAATTGATTGATGAGAATTTGTCGATACCTACAACACCGTAACCATGATTCCTTTTCTTCCCGTAAAAGTTGTAATTGCAAAGATTAGTTGCGACATCGATTTGTTTGTTCTCATGGAAAAGTTCCAGGAGTTTTTTGTTTTCTATTTTAATTATGCTTTTATGTTATATTGTAGTATTTTCAGTGTAGGGAGTAGAATAAGGATGTATGGTTTAAAATACAAAGGATTAGCCAAAAGTCATTAAAATGGTCAAAAACTCATTAAAGTATCAAATTACAGTCTGTCCGTCCGTGTATGTGTCAACACGTGCGCTTTTGTTTACAAATAGTGTGTGTGTGTGATCCTCCGTTCTGAGTATGGCAATTTATGTATGTGCGTGTGTGTGTGATCCTCCGTTCTGAGTATGGCAAAGTATGTGTTTGTGTGTGTGTGTCTCCGTTCGCAAACTGTGTTGATCGACGTGTGTGGGCGCGCTCTTGACCTTGAGCATGCCAATGTGTGTGCGTGTGTGTGTGTCCGTTCGGTTTAATAATATTAGGGATGGCAAACTATGTGAGCATGCGCGGAGCTTACCGAAATGTTTACATTCATCACGCAATGGTAATTTTGTTATGGAATATCCACCACATCCCAATTCCTTGACCTCTTCATCCCCCAAAGATAGAAACCTCGATGGCAAGTATAGTATTGCGTCATCCAATTTCAGGACAATCCTTACTCCATATTTCGTATGTGTCCTGTAGGCTCCATTAATTATATATTCCTGGCTGTCATCCATCTCCTTCACCCTCATAATTTTTTTGTAGTTGAAGGAGTTGAACAAGTTTACTAAATTTGTATTTGACATTATTCCTTAAGTATTTATTCCAGACTAATTTTCATATGAAAATTAGTCACTATTTATACCAAAACCCTACCCCATGAATTCAATTTGTATTTTTCTTCCATTTTTACTCTCCCACTCTCTCTGGAAAATAATAGTAATTACATTTATCCCACACACATTACTCAATCATCAACTATCAACCAAATTAAAAAGAAAAAACAATAAAACGAATATTTTTTTTTTTTATTTTTTTATTTAGTCTTTATTCTTTATAAATGTTAAAAAAATGTTTTAATTTTTTATTATCTTCACAATTATCGAATTTAGAAACTATTCTTAAATATGTTTCTATATTTTCTTCAATATGTTTATCAATATCTCGAATTATTTCTAGTAATTCGGGATTATGTATTACTTCAACAGAAAGTATTGTTGGTTGATCGGGAAAATTTTCCCGAATTCTATTAATCATCATACTATCAAAATTTTCTCCTGCCGTTATAAAAATATCATCGTCGACGTCGTCCAGGAAAAAGTCCATGGTATCGTCCCGTTGAATATGAATTTCCCGGATGTCATCCTTGGCATACCTTTCTTCACTGATAGCAGTAACTTTAAATAAAAATTGATTTTCTCCAGAGCTTTCAAGCTTACTACGTTCCTTTATTAAAGGTGACTCCATTTTATTATTTAAAAAGTTTGGCTGAAACTGAATAATTTCTTCAAGCCTCAGCCCGTTTTAAAGCCTTTAAATGTTTACATTAAAATCCTTCTGATAAGGAATGTATTAGAGAATACTGCGTGCAATAGGAAAACAAATAAATCTGCTAACTCAACATAAACATTTTAATGGATTTCTTGTATTTAATTACCCTGAATGCAAAAGTGGGTTTTGCTAGCTCAATATTAAATTTTCCATTTTAATCCCCACACAATGGTATTCATTTACAAAGAAACATTGAAACAGTGAATGGCAACAATTATAATCATTCTTAATAGTATTATATTTTTTAAAAACTAAAGTGAGTTTCCTCCCTTTGGCGAAACTCGCGTTAAAAAATAACACGTCAATTAAAGTTTGCTGCTGGAATAGAACTAAATCTTTATTTGTGAATGAGTGCAATATACATAATTGTTTATTTTAATTCTAGATACATCGTATGATTATTTATTGGTCTTTTGATTCGATCGTATGATTTGAAATACGATCGATTGTGTGATTTGCAAGAAGGGTGTGGCTTTTTTTTCTAAATGACAGATGGTACGATAATTGTAATATGAATACGATAATTGTAATATGAATATATTGCCAAGTCATTGGAAAGGCATTTTGGTTTGGGTTATAACACCCCCGGACGAAGACTCTTTCCCGTGTTCCAAAGGAGCTGAGGGGAAGGGCATAGTTACTTTTACTTTTACTGTGCTTGATCTATATTTTACATACAGATACAATGCTATAATAAGTATAATTACAGCTGTCAAGACTATTACTGTGTAATTAGTTACTTTCTGTTCAAATTTTATTTCTGATATGAATTCGGTATTTTTAATATGATGATACTGTATTTCCTCTAAAGAATCATATGAATCATTTATCATATGTATGTCTCTGTAGGGATTTGGAATTATTAACATGTTTTGAAACATTACTTTATTGTACCATTTGTCCAATTTTACTTTGCAATTTTCTATGATCAGCATGTGATTTCCAGATAATTTTAATGGGTATTTGTTACATGTATGATTAACAATTTGATTAGTATTTATAGCAATTATAATATTTAAGCCAATTTCGACAACTTTTGGTTTAGTATTTTGTATATAATGACATTTCATGAGCTTATAATTAAACAGATTGGATATACAATCATCCTCAACTTCCCTTAGATTTGGTGTTTCATTAACATCATAATAAATTTTATTATCTTTTGTGATATACAATTTTTCTGCAATATTAATTTGCATTTTTTCTTTATTAGGTATTGGTTGAATATATACTTCTTGGAATATTTTAGGATTATATTGGGGTACTTTTAAGACAAATACTATATTATTTTTGTAAAGGGCTAAATTCATCTTAATTTCTTTCATTTTATCTATGGTTATATTATATATTCTAATTTCTTCATCACTCAGGATATCTCGAGTGAGAATATTTAATTTGGAAGCCAAGATTAGGTCTCTTACTTTATCTAATAATTTGCCCATATGATCAATTTGGTATTTAAGACGGTAAACTTTATCAGCTTTTGCTGTGTTATCTTTAATTGATTTAACGTTTGACATGCTCTTAATCAACAGTTTTGTTTGGTCATTATATAATTTTGTTAAGTTAGCTAATTGATTGTCAAATTGTGTATTTATGTGTATTTGATTATTAGTTTGCGTTATTATATTATGTTCATTCTTCTCCAAATTTTGCAGTTGTCTTTCAATCTCTTCTCTATCATTATTATCCATTGTACCATATAGATATTTTAATCCTGTACCAAAAAGATTAATTAAACCTCTTCTATTTCTAGCTTGATGGGGAATAATACTTTTAAGTCGTAAATGTATGTGCTCGATTTCATGCGATAAAAATGAATCATTAATATGCGAAACTTCCTCTCCCAATTCATTCAAAAAATCCATATATTTTGTGGTGTTAAATATGTGAAGAATTTTAATATAGTCATCT